ATACAGACACACACACACACACACACACACACACACACACACACACAAAACAAATTCAAGAAAAAAAATATAGTGCTTTAAAGGATTACGAATAGTGCTGTTTCTTTGTGTAGACATGCATTTCAAAAGCTGTTAAATAAACTTTATACCTTCCATATTATGGATAAAATGTTTCATGTTAATAAATCAAGCAGTTTGAACAAAGCCACAACATAAAATCTTTTGCTACACAGTTGTAATGCTCATGTGCTCATAATGGCAAGGTCTTTGGATGAAAAAATAGTAGCACAGTTAGTAAAAATTGAAAGCTATAATTTGTTAAAGCTTTTAAATATCAGAGCCTTTCACTAGAGAACATAGTTAACCTCACATACCACTTGGCTATACTAATTAATATCCAGATCCCCCTGAACTAACGTGTTACTTAGGAAAAATAACAATAGCTTTTTGAGAGGGACAAGGAGGGCGACATGGAAGGTGAAGTGGCTGGGTGTGAGGAAGGAAACTCGTATGAGAATTTTTTTTAAAAATATGCTTGGATGAGCATATTTGTACGCTTAACAAGAAACATAGACATCTGCAGCCTAGGTCTATATCAATGGGGTTTACTTACTATTTTCTTGATGTTTTCTCTGTATAAAAATGATACACTAACCAGATAAAATATGATACTTAGTAAAAAAGGAAAAAAATCCTAAAGTTGATATTATTAGGAATGGGAGGGTTATGTGTCTATGCATTTGAAGAGAATATATGTATATACATGTTTACACATGAGAATGACTCTAAAAGAATAGCGTAAGAAATTGCTAGCTCTGGTTGCTACCTTTCACTGTCTACTGTAGCATCTTATTATTATTATTTGGAGCTACAGTCCACGCAGCTCAGGCTGCAGTTACTGTAGCTGAGGATGACCTTGAGCTTAGCTCCTCCTGCCTTCACCTTGGTGTGACAAAGGCATGCTCTCCCACACCTCATTTATGTATATGGGAATCAAGTCCAGGGCTTTGTGCATTCTAAGCAAACATTCCTCCAACCGAGCTACATCCTCTGTCCATACATCTGGTGCTATGGGAATAGTTTTCTCTATTCAAAAATGTTAAAATTTACCACTAAAATAAACTTGCATGGCTGAAAAATGTCACATCAGATTAAGACCAAAGACTGATTTTTTTCCCTCATTTTATAACAAAATAGTAAAAATTTCCCCTAAAGTCTACCCATGTATATTTGACCATATTTTCTTTTTGGTAGACTTGCTGTGATCTAAAAAACCATTTTCATAAGATACTGAATTGGGAAATACATTTTTCCTGTACTCTGGTGCTATAGTACTGTAGACTATAGATGGTTATAGCAGAACGCTTGCTAATTCCTTATTCCCTTCCTCTGATAGGCTAGCCATTAGCCACAATTTCTCTATGGAAGTCAAGAAATCTTTAAGGAAACTTCAGAAAGATTTTAATGAATCTTATCTGGCAATGCCAAATCTTGTATCTGTACCATTCTGGAGGCACAGAATCAATGTTAACTTTTTTTTGACAAAACATCCTGCCAAAGATGTTTGGTGTTTGGTAAAGAAAGACTTCAGACTAGGTGGTGACTCACCAAAGCCCTTACCCAAAGTTTGGAAGAGGATTTCATGTTTCAGTCAAAGTCATTTGGAAGGAAGAAAGAAAAAAGAAAAAAAAAAACCCTCATTTTCAAATAACCAATTAAAACTCAAATTAAGCCTCATTCATTTAAATATTAAATATTAAGTAAACTGTAAAATAAATCTCAAGGAATGACAATACATCAGTTTTCAATGGTAGCTGCTGATTAAAAATAAGTGTCTGAGATTTTAGTCCAATTTCATCCTCTTCAAACTGTGCAGCTCAGATAAATGTTTATTTTACTGAAAATATTTGCAAAATTACAATATAAATACATGGTTAGATTAAGATAGGATGACTATATATGTTTCTTATCTATAGATATAAAATGAATGCAATAAATATAGCACACTCTTGATGAATTGTTAGTACACAGTGTTTTCTCAGTAAAGTACATACGACCTATTATTAAGCAACAATTATTTAGTTTTCAAATATACATCTTCAAATGTGTTCGGGGTAGAAGGATACACTGAATCCCCCAGTTCTCTTTTGAGTTTTTGAAGGTTAATACTTCTGCAGATTTTGAAATATCCTATTTATGTTTTAGTGACTTATTAAGCTCTTTATATTCCTTACTTGAAACTTTATTTCTTTAGTCTGGTGATTTTTAAAACATAAGCTAACCATACTTTTGATTCTAGAGCTGTAGCACGTACTGTCTTTTTATTAGTAACTTAAGTACAAATTAACAGTGAAACAGAATTATTAAAAAAGTTATCTGGCCAGATTCCCCAATTTAATTTTTGGAGTATTATGGGAAGTCTCAAGTAGATATAGTCTGAACTGTGACACTAATCTGGATTAGAAATTGTTTTATATTATTCTAGTCTTTATTACAAATTCAAAATCTACGTTAAAATTCCTTGTTAAATGAATTGAGATTTGCTTTAAAACCATCTTCTGTCCTTCTCCATTACACTGCCTTAATGGACACCCGTTACAATAGTTCTAACACAAACATGTGCATGCAAGGGATCACCCTACAGATTCTAGCTACATAGTTACTGAAACACATCCTGCCTGTCGGGTGGCATAAATGTACATCTTCTATATACAAAAGGTAAAGTGCATTATTAAATTAGTGAACTGACAGATTGTCTGCCTGGACCATATAGCTTTCAAATAGACAAATGTGAAATTCCCCCATTAGAACCAATCATTTCAAGAGGTTCTAAACAGCTTTTCCACCCTGTCATTTATTTTTTTGGCCATGCTCTTTAGTGCAAATAAGCTTGTGTTTGACTCAAGTTTAAGGGACATGGCAGTTTGGGGCTTTAAGAAGGAAAATAATAAAATGTGGCAGAACTTGAATATCTTTATAATACATTGCATCTTTTGCATATAAGCAGCATATTAGCGCTGCTTTTAATTGCTAGGAGCACACTGCCAACTACTGAGGAACCCGTTTCCAGATTTTATACTATTAGCTTATATTATTACAGTTGGAGTCTGTCCACATTATGCTCGATTACTATGTGCAAACATCATCAATGTTTTAGCATTATACAGTCAACTAGTAATTTTGGTTACTAACTTCAATGCTCTTTTTTTTACTTCTAACATCCAGTTTCCTTAAGAGTTTAACGCCTTCGAGGCAAGGATCCTGTTATTTTGAAGAATACCATGTACACTTGCAGCTCCATTTATGTTACAAATGACAATAAATAAAATTTATATTGCACAGATAAAAATAGTAGCTTATTTTATAAGATACATGGCAATACACGTCCTAAGTCCATATTTTTGAACTGGATCACACTTAATTATGGCTAATGAACTCTTGGGAATTTTAAGTATCAAAAAATCATAGCATCATACCATTTTTCAATGAATATATTAACTATGAAAAGGTAAACAAAGGATTGGTAAAAGTCTTAGTGCTTCTAGAGTATAGTCAATTGCCAGTATATATACATACATATGTTTTTATATATGTATATATATATATATTATTTACCCAATCTGTAGCTTTGAGATGGCAAGAACTTTGAAGTATACATATAAGGTAGAAAATCTGGCTATTTAGCTAGTCCTTTACTTAAATAATTAATATGAAATGAAGCTAATAACATGTATATACAGTGAATTAAATATATTTATCTTCATGTCTGACATAGTATCGTGTGTGTGTATATATGCATATGTATATACACACTTAAACCTCATCAGACTAAAAACCAAAAAGAAATCAGTTAGTCCTAACGTATATAGATATTTCAAAAGAGGAAGATAAGATTTTTAAGAGCGAGTGCATACTCACAGCAATAGTGATCGGGACAATTGAGTAATGGAATATTCACAGCTCCCGTTTGCCGAAATCTGACAGGTTGATTATTATTAATAGGCACTATGATGGGCAGCAATAACAATCAGTAGTACAGTAATTCAAGTGCACACCACTCCTTCATATACCCCAAACTACTTCCTATCAAGCCTACAGAGCTACATTATCTTACAGTTAGGACTGTTTAAAAATCCTGGCTACTTTTATAGTCTCAACCGCCACCATGTGCTATTAACGCTAGTACTAACATTTTCTTCTAACCTTCAGTTGTTCCATGGTGATGCAGACGGTTCACAACAGGAGTGAACCGAGGGAGATTCCATCATAGGACTTGGAGAAATGTGAAACAGAGTCTGCAACCAACATCAGCATGTATGTCTGGGCTACTAGTTGCTTGGTCTTAACGAAAGCCAATGAACTTAATCTTAATTCATCCCACGGTTTCCTTAGCGACCTCAATGTGTTTACAGAAAAATTCTGGAGGGAAAATTGTTCGAAGCAATTCTGAATTACTCAGAGCATATCAGAGAAGAGCCACATTCTGACCTCAGGCCTTGGAGCCTGCTCTCACCCATGAGAACTGTATCTGGGGAGTTGAAATCAGTGTCTGTCTCTTAAATATGATTACATGGACTTATTGTGGAACAGTAACTGATCCCATGACAAAATACAATTTCGTTCAGAATAAAATGTAGCCCAACAGATGAAATTTCATTCAGTTAATAAGGGACATGGTGGGTGTACGTACTATACCCACTTGTTTAAAAATTGCCGAGTGTCTAAAAATTCAGGTGGCACTTTCTGGACAGTGGTTTTTAATAGAGGTGAGCACAGGTGGAGACGTCTTGTATAGAGTAAACCTCTTTAAGAATCTCAAGGAGCACCTTGGAAAATGCCTGAATTTTCCTTTTAAATGTTTACAACCAATATTATTTCCAAATATTATATTTCCCAGACTGCAATTTTATATTCTAAATGCTCTTTTTTTTGTTTTCTCAGCTAAAAAAAAAAAAAGTTTTTCTTTTTGGAGTTAAAGTCAGGTTTATACTGTAAGTTTGAGATGGTTTTAAGGGCAGTCAATGTAGGAGCCCTACTAAAATACGTCAGTAAACGTATTTTACACCAGTCAACGGGTGCAGCAACTATGCATGGATGGGAAAGCATAAAATACACTTTGAAAGTTTATGACAGCTTATAAGGAAAAAAAACCAAACCGATTCCAAACTATCAAGAATGGCTAAAACATCAAAATTTCCATAACAAAGCCACTGGGTGAAGCCTCCCTCTCAAGAGTGACATAAGCATCATGTCCATACCTTTAGAAAGTCAATAAAATATATAGAATAGGAAACAGAAGATTAGATTGCAGTTAGCTAAGAATAATGAATTAAAACACTTCCATGGCTTTGATATGGCAACTGAAACTGTAGGGTTACCACAAAACTTGAAATTATGGAACACTGTATATAGTAACTGTTAAGAAATATGACATTGTATTTTAAAGGTCTAATTATGTAATAAGATTTGTATTTTAGTGGTACTAGTTAATATTCAGTTACCCAATGAGCAATATATTCCTACTAGTACTTTCATCAAGAAATCTACTATACTCCAGGTCAATTTCTGTTTCTGTGGTAACTGTCCTACAGGTAAACTTAGCAACTTTTTAACAAAGTATGAACTTTTAACAAAGGATGGGACTTTCTTTGGGGGGCGGGATTTGATAAATAGGAATTCACACTTTCGTCTTTAGTCTATGCATCATTTTCAAGATTCTGTCATATAGTGCAATGTAAATCTTAGTTATCGTGATTAAAGGTCAGAATGTCACACTTTGTGCCGATCTGCATACTTCAATAGGTCTGGAGCAGTTGAAGCAGCTAAACTATTTGGCTCTGGGGAGGTTGGAATTCCCATGAGAATTCTAGTGATCTATGCATAACATAACATGAGAATCAGACTCCTTTAAGTATAAACTATTAGAGGTATTACTAATAACAAAGGGCCCAAAAGAGGAGAAACTTCTTCAAATGATCATGATTATGGATCAGTACGTTTAGCCAATTACTGATTTCTAAACTTTGCCTGCTGGAGTTCAATTTCACGCTAGTCCAGGCATTCTCGTTCTTCACCACTGGCCCGGCGCCCATCCATTCTCTTTTCTTTATGGCTGTTGCAAATTTTCCTCATCTCTTCTTCATACTTGATAAAATTCTCCCCAAACCTTGTCCAAGCTTTGAATGGAACAGTAATAGTATTACGGTAAGGTGGCCTCACCTCACTTACCTTCAGGAAAATTCCATATTTATTAGAGCCCACATCAAAGTAGAACCTTTTATTGTCCACTCTGAAAGAGGTCCCCTCTGGGAGTTCAAGTGGGTCGTTGTCTCCACACCTTCGTTCTTCTATGTCTCCTTCGCCGTAGTCTTCAATCAGCTGGACCAAGGCATCACGAAATTCAATCATACCTTGCGCCGGGAGGACAATAGTCTGTTCCTGGCCCAAACTGTGGCCAAAATAACCTATCATGCCAGTGCCCCTCATCATGGTTTGTCTAATCCTTAGGAAGCGACCTCGTTGGTTCTCCTTTAGGTCCAGGTAGTATTTCCTATTGTCCCTCTCTATATAGTCCGTTTTGAGGACACTGTGAGGATGCTCTTCTGACCCCACTGACACCGGTGGGGAGGGTGCGGAGTGCTTCTGCCGCCTCCTGGAGACTTGCTCTTTGCTCTGCCCATGCTCTTGCCTGTGGCCTTTCAGGCCCAGGTGGGCATAGTGCTCTATGAAGTCGCCTAGACAGTCCTTCAGCTCTGCTGCTACTGACAGGGAGAGGGTCAGTTTACTCTTTCTGATATTGTCCTGCCGGCCTCTCCCTATCCAGACTTCGGCTATCTTTAGGAAGCGGCCCCGGGAGCTTTGCTTCACGTCTAGGTAAAACCTCTTTTTCTGGATGTCCACTCGTTTGGAGGCCAGCTCCTGGATTTCGGATGCTCCCCCAGACTGATTAGGGGTGGCTGACGCGGAGTAGTGGGGGTAGTGAGAATGCTGGGCCTGGGGATAGAGTCTAGTCTTGCTTAGGCCAGAGCCCCCTACATTCTTGCCTCCGCGGCCACGGCCGCCACCGCCGCCGCCGCCGCCTCCCCTTCGCCTGGCTCTTTCCATCTTCAGCTGCAAGTGACAAACAGACACACGGGGTGGGATGGGGGAGGGGTGTTGAGAACAATCGCAGACGCCCCTGGGTCCGCACTGCCCCCGCTGCCGCCGCCCGGAACCCCCACTCTGGCCCGGCTCTGGCGCTCCGGCCTCGGCCGGCTCCGCACCGCGCACGCAGCATCCCTCGGCCGCCCCGGGCCTCCCGTTCCGATTCCCGTAGGCAGCCAGCCGCCCAGCTCGGGCTCGGCAGCCCCGGGGGTCCCCAGCCAGCCGACACTCACATCATCTCCGTCACCGATGCCCTTCACGACCACCGCCGCCGCCGCCAGCTCTCGGCCCCTCCGCTGCAGCCGCCGCCCCCCGCCTCCTTCCCCGCCGCCGCCGCGCGCTCTGCCCCCCGCCGGAGCAGCGGGGCAGGGGCATCGCCTGCGGCGCCCACCGCCGCCGCCGCGCCTCCTGCGGCCGCTGCCTGGATTCGGGCACCGGCCCGACGCCGCGGGGAGGGCGGGAGGGAGGCGGGGAGCTGCCGGAGGGGCCGGGCTTCGGACCCCGCCTCCCCAGCCGCGGTAGCGGAAAGAGGGGGGCTCGGGCTCAGCCTCCGGGCGCGCCCTGACGGCAGCCCAGCGTGCGGGGACCCGGCGTGCGTGAGAGCCGGCTGGAGGGGTGGCGGGAGCGTTGTGACTTGCCGCGGCTCACCCGCCCCTGCGTTGAGACTACATTTCCCAGCGTGCCCAGCGGCCGTCAGCTTTGAGCATGCGCGCTGTGCGGGTCGACCGGGATGGCTGCGGTGGGTGGGAGGGCGGCGGGGCTGGAAGAGGTTGGGCGGGGCTGCGGGCGGAGTGCAGGAAAGGGCAGTCTCCAGACCAGAAGTGTACCCAGGTGCCACTTGATATAAAGTTAGGAAAGGTGAGACCTCGCCCGATGCTTGGGTTGTGGGCTTTGGTTCTCAGCCCTCCATAAATCATCCTGCTGAAGGAGAAGACCCGTAGATCTGGCTCTTTTCAGGGTAACGTGTCTTCCCCGCTTTTGCTTCCCCCCTCGGCGTACCCTGGGCTATACCCTACGCTTCTTAGACGCGTGTCCCTCTCGTCCACGGGGCTTTCTCCTGGGGTTGTGTTGGAGAGATTCTTGGAAAGGGAGCCTTGTCTCCTTTCTCCTTCAGATCCCCTGGAAAGGGGCCGCTGAGCCACAGGCCTCCTCTTGTCCCGTCAGCTAGTAGGCTTTCCCGCCTCTTCCGCCCCAGCTGCTGTTTATAGTGCTAGAGTCACGCTTGCACAGGTAACTGAGGCAGGGGAAGCAACCGGCTTCCCACGACTGAGCAAATTGTTTTGGATCTCTTAAGGTCAAGTCATTGTACCAATGAGCATTTTGTCTTGTTGAATGTGACTCGTTCTTCCATAGATCTGATCTGTAAAAACCTGGAGAGCAAAAAAGTCTTTTAGGATGCTAATCAAGAGTTCCAAAATAACAATAATTTAGGCTTTAGTTTTCCTTTGGTTTTGTTGAGACGGGGTTTCTCTTCTGTAGCCCCTTACACTTTTAGCCCACGCGCTGTCCTCGAACTCATGCCCTCCTGATCTTTTATTAGAGATTGTATGCAAAGCCTGCGGTTTATAGGGCAGTTTGGTACTTGATGTCGTTGAATACTAGTCGTCTCCTCGGCCAGTCTCCTCTTGCATTGAGGATGGAACCCCGAACTGGGAGTGCTCATTTGCTTTGATACAGGGCTCTTCTATTGACTGGCATCCCAGCTCTGCGAATTCAGCATATAATTGTTGAGCGCTGCTGAAGGCACCGGAGAAAACAAAATGAATAAAGCAGAGAAAACTTACCCTTTTTGAGTTTAAAATTTAGCGGAAAGAGACACGCAAAATGCCAAGTGCAGTATTGTCTAAGTGAAAATGAAAGAGGGCCAGTGGGGGTTGGGAGGTATAATTTCCCAATGGGTCCTCACTGGGAAGGAAGTGAGAGATCACTTTGTGTCTAAGAGAGGGGAAAGAAAGTACAAACCCGAAGGAGGCTGCCTGTAGTAAGAACAACCCAGAAAGGCATTTAAGGTAGAAAAAAGGAGTCTGCTTGCAGAGACCAGAGAGATTATGCAGGATTCATTGACTATGTTAGAAATCTGGTGTGTCATCCTGAAGAATTGGGAAGCTCTTGGCGAGTTGTCAGGGAAACACACACACACACACACTATAATTTGCCAGTTTAATAATTTTAAGTACAGTTTAGTGATAATAAATTATGCTCTGTATGTGCAAAATGTCGCCACTGTCTACTTCTATAATGTTCTTTGTTGTTGATTTGGGTTCTTGTTTGTCTGCTTTTGGATGCTGGGCATTGCCCATGCTAAATATCTATTCTTTTATTGAGCACACCCTAGCCCTATTTCCAGAAATTGCTCTTCATCTTAAGCAGAAACTCTCCCATAAAGTAATAACTTTATTGCCTCCACTTCCCAGGCCCCAGTAATTTGTAGTATATCACTTATACTACACTTATATTTGTAGTATATCCATTTCAGATACTTCATGTACATAGAACCATAAATATTTGTCCTTTTGTACCTCACAGATGTGGCTCAGTGTGTTTTCAGGGTCCATCTATGCTGTGGTTTATGGCTGAGCTTAATTCTTACTTTAAGGCTGAATTAATGAATGAATAATTCATCATGTATATGTACAATATTTTGCTTATTCTTTATTGATAGCTTGGTTTCTCCTTTGTTTACTGGGAATACTACTGCCCTGAATGTTGTTGCTGTGTGTATCTGTGACCCTGTTTTAAATTTTTTTGACATTTATCGGTATATAGGACTTTCTGGCTTATATGATAAGCTTTTTGAGTAACTGCCAAACTTTCCCGCAATGGTAATGCACAAGTGTCTTCATTTCCCCAAAGCCTTGTCAAAACATATTGCCCTATTTTTTTATCCCTTCTTATTATAGTCCTTCTAGAGGATGACATGGGGTAGTATCTTATTTTTGTTTTGGTTTGTATTTAGTCTTTGGCCTTTGGTTAATGACTATGTCAGTTAGCAGCTTTCCATGGATTTAATGGCTGCCCTTCACTGGTAAAGAATGTAATATCATTCTTTGCCTATTTTCAAATTTGAGTTTTTAATTTGTTTAGTTGTAGGAGCTCTTCATTTGAACATGAAACTATCTCTCTATATATACATGTATGTATATGTGTATATATATATAATTTGCAAATAATCTATCATTTTGTTTCTTTTTCTTTTTACTTTGTGGGGGGGGATGCTGAAATAGGCTTTTGGTATGTAGCTCAAGCTATCCTTGAATTCAAGATCCTCCTGCCTTTGCTCACCAAATGCTGGGACTATAGGTGTGTTCTATGTTGCAGTGTATTCACTTTTTGATAATGTTTCACACAGTGTGGAATTTTGATGATGTTCAGTTTATTATCTATATATGTTAATACATTAAATTTATTGCCATTTCCAAAGTCATGCATTTTTTCATCCTATTCTCTGCTAATTTTATTTTAATCCCCTCCCCCCCTTTTTTAAAAAAGGTTTATCTCTTATATTTGAGTTAATGTTTGTATTCAGTTAAGAGTTCAACTTCTTCACTCTTTTACATGTGGAAAAGTAACTTACAGTAAACAAGTCTTTTTTACTTAAACCTGCTTGGTTACTTCTAGATATTTTATTAATTTATATGCTGTTGTCAATGACATTGCTTTCTTTCGGATGATTCACTTTGGTATATTAAAAAAGGCTGATACTTCTGTGTTGACTTTGTACTCTGAAGCTCTGCTGAATGTTTTTGTTAGGTTTAGAAGCCTTCTCATCAGTTCCCTCAGGTTTTTACATGCAAGATTGTGCTGTCTGTTAAGATAGAAATAGTTTTTACTTCTTTCTAGTTTAGATACTGTGTTAACCATGATTCTTAATCTTCCTAACACTGCAACCCTTTAATATAGTCCCTCATATTGTGGTGATCTCCAACCATAAAATTATTTTTGTTGCTACTTCTTAACTGTAACTTTGCTACTGTTATGAATCATAATGTATATATCTGACTATGCAGATGGTCTTAGGCCACCCCTGTGAAGGTTGTGCAACTCCCAAAGGGAGTTGAGAACCACTGTCTAGAGTAAAAGAACCAATAGAGTGAATCTATATTAAACAAGGACTCATTAGATTGGCCTATGTGCTATAGTCTGGGTATTTCTACAATGGCAGTCTTCTTACTGTAGAGGCGGAGAACTCTGTAGCTGCTCAGAGCAGGAAACTGCATATTTCAGCAGTCCCAACCCAGTGCTAAAGGCCTGGGTGATTCTTGGAGAACCACCGGTCTTCAGTCTGTATTGAAACACTGAAGAAGCTTCAGCTATCAGTGAGGGAATATCACAGCAGTGACCTTGGCAGCAACAGGACTCATGAACTTTCAGTGTTGATAACCATATCAACAGGGTAAATGAACTCGCCAGAAAGACTTGAAGGTGATAAAGCAAGAGGGGAAGCTTTCCCCCCAGATCTGCTTCTATCTGGCTCCCACGGGAAGGTGCCACGGGAAGGGTTAGGTTGGGTCTTCCCACTTCAAATAACCTGATTAAGAAAATACCTTATAGATATGCCCAGTGCCTTATCTCTTGGTTGATTCCAGATCCTGTCAAGTTGACAATGAAGATTAACTATCACAGGTGCCCCTTAAATTCTCTGTCTAGAACTTTCAAAAGTAGCAGTGGTAAAAATGGGTATCATTAAGGAAAAAGTTTTTTTTGTTTGGTGTTTTCTGCAGGGTCAATATAATTGCTGTTTTGCTATAATTGTTGAAGAAATTACCTTTTGTTGTTGTTCTATATATTTTTAAAATCATGGAAAATTGTTAAATTTTATCAAGTACATTTTTTGTGTAAATTTTGATAAGCATGTTGGTTGTTTTCCCGTTATATTTCTAATGTGAGTTATTATATTGGCCATTTTTCTTATGTTGAATCATCCTTGTATTCTTGGAGTTAAGTTTTACTTGGTCATGTTATTTAATCCTTAGATTTATACAGGACCACTCTGACTATTGTTTTGAGTTGAGGCTGTCAGGATGTCCATCAGCTATATAGGTAGAGCTAGGCATGGTAGTGCTTGTATTCCCAGTCCTTGGACTGAGGCAGGAGGATTGTAGAAAGTTCAAGGCTAATGAGTAGTATACAGGGAATACTAGACTAGCCGGGGCTACAATATACTGTCTCAAATCAACAACAAAAACAAAAAAAACAATCACCCCCCCCACCTTCCCAGAATTCTCTGGATTGAACTAAGGCTGTCACCATGAAGGCGAGGATGGGAAGGAGGATTTACTCAAAGTAGGGTTGCTGACGGTATAAT